TCTATCTATCTATCTATCTATCTATCTATCTATCTATCTATCTATCTATCTGGTTTTGGATTCCATTTCAGAATCATCTCCCCTCCTCCCCCCCTCACTCTCTCTCCTTTCCCTTCCTCACCCTCATTTACTCCCCTTCTTCCTGTCCCATTACCCTTTTAGTTTTTGAAAGAGGATCTTGCTTGAGACCACATTGGCCTTGAATCCTCCTGCCTCAGCCTCCTGTGTACTGAGATGACGTGTTTACACCACCTCCAAATGGCCCAGAACTTATTCTTTATGTATGTGCAGTCACTCTTTCCCCTTGTTATAAAAGATGGGCCTGGAATTTAGAGCCTCTTTGAAGTTACTACAAACTGAGAGTGGGGAACCAAACCAAAGAAAACAGAAAATAGGAATGGACACCTCCTTGCCCACCTTTTATCTCACTAGGGCTGTTCTCAGCCCTTGCAATATTCTATAGAAGTCTAAATGATTGGCAGCAATAGCTACTTCCCATTCCTCAGATAGGATTTATAAACTAAGGAGAATGTTAAAAACAAAGTTCACACAACAAATAAACTATCACTAGACATACTTTAAATGGAAGATAAGTCAAATGAGGAAATTCGGTAGACATTTTATCTTTAAGAAAATTCAGTTCTCTCTCTAGCCTAGTGGTGGTGGTGTTGGTGGCACATACCTTTAGTCCCGGCACTCAGGAGGCAGAGGCAAGAGGCTTTTTGTGAGTTCAAAGTTAGTCTGGTCTACAGATTGAGTTCCAGGACAACCAGGACTACACTGTCTCAACCACCCCCCCCTTCAAAAAAAGAGAGAAAGAAGTTCTCTTAGAGGTTCAGTTCCCCATGTACAAGGGAGAAATATTGTTGTTCTATTTACATATTTGAGAGAATCAAAAAAATGTTGTGCAAAGGTACTACTACAAAAGTGTACACATGTGTAAGCGTGGGCCTTGTCTTATTGGGCCTGGAAATGGCTGACTCAAGGACAGTTATGAAATTTGTTGCCAGCTTAAAGTTTAATTAGCACTCTGAGCTGCCTATTATATTGTCAGTCTACATGTCTAGATTGTGTGTCTGTTTATTAGGCCTGATGTAGCCCTGATGGTATGTTGCCAGGTTCAGGCCTGCAACGTGTGTACATGTCATTGTACAAATCTACTCCATTAGGGCTGCTCACACTCAGACAGCACCCTTTTCCTAATGCCTGGCCCACTTCAGTAAAAGTCAGTGTAAAGGATTCTACTGACCCCCAAGACCAAACTAAAACACACATATGGAAGCTCATGTTTAGGATCCCAGCACTAGGGAAGGTTTCAGGAGGATTGCTACTAGTTCTAGATTAATTTGGGCTCCAAGTGAGACCTTGTTCCAAGGAACCAAAAGAAAAGAAGTATGCAGACAAAGAACCTTTTCCCTGACCATGGGGACCAAATTAAATCTCAGGCATCAAGGCTGCCCCATGGCAAGGACAGAGACAACCTGATTAATCTCACATGTTTGGTAAACTAAAGTAAAGAGAGCTTGCAGAAATCGCTCTACTTGGATGGGAAAGCAGTCTGTGACAGCTGTCACCCCAATGATCACCAGTGCGAAACTAGGCTGATCTGGCTAGCTAGGGGAGTGTCCCCTTCCTCCTTCACCACCCACATGAATCCCTCCTGAAACGGAATCAAATAGTCAAGGAGTAGAACCTTCCCAGGTAGAGCCACCCTGAGGAAGCTGTTCTTTGGCCAAAGATATACGAGTTGTTGCCTTCTCCAGCTAGAACCTCCGAACAGGCAAAGTCTCCCGTCTCCACGGTAAGAGTAAATGACAGGATGCTTCCTAGAATGCGGCATTTATCTGTTAGTTTATTGTTCTGGAGAGGGAGCCCAGGCCCTTGCACAAACCAGACAAATGCCCTACCACTGAGTTATACCACTGAGTTACATCCTCTTCCCCGAGAAGAGTTTAAATCTCGCCAGGCCATGGTGGTGCACGCCTTTAATCCTAGCACTCAGGAGGCAGAGGCAGGTGGATCTTTGTGAGTTCGAGGCAGCCTGGTCTACAAGAGCTAGCTCCAGGACAGGCTCTAAAACTACAGTGAAACCCTGTCTCAAAAAACCAAAAAAACCAAAAAAAAAAACAAGAAAGAAAAAAATGAAAAAGAAAAAAAGAAAAAGGAGTTTATGGCTGTTATGCCCAGATCACGGAATCCTCCCAAAACCAACAAGGAGACCGAGTCCCCTGTGTAAAGGCAAGACAAGATTGCAAACTCAGACTCCCTGTGTGTCCAACATATTGGAATGATTTGGAATGATGGGAGAGCCCCAACCTCAAGTAGGATTGAGTTTTTATAGTAGCAATGGGGGGGGGGGGGGGGGGGGGGTTAAGGGATTTCTAAGGTTCAGGAGCCCTGATTGGCTGATATTTGTCTAGGGGTGTCCCGGTGAAAAGTGATGGGTGTGTGCTGACAGGTGATCCTATCTACAACAGCTGGAACATTAGGAATTTCCTTTGGATGGTCTGTTCCTGGGTGGTACCTGGTGATCTCAGTTTGTGGTCTTCCTTGGAACCAGGTATTGCCTCAGGGTAAAACTAAGAGGCCTCTATTGAGCTTGTCATGGTTGGATCCTACAGTGGTCTTAATCCCAGCAGAAGCAGGCAGAAGCAGGGATATCGCTGTGGGTTTGAGGCCAGCCTGGTCTACAAAACGCGTTCCAGGATAGCCAGGGCTACATAGTGAGACCTTGTCTCAAAAAAAAAAAAAAGTATAAGAGGGAATCTATCCACTCATTAGAACCCTAAACAGAGCCCCCACCCCTGCCGCATGGGCGGGGTCTCCATTCTTGTGGCTGACTGGCATGTTCTACCTTTGCCTTCCGTGGACTCCAGCTGTGGGCTGGAGACCCCCCAAAGAAGTCCTGGCACACCCTGATCCCCAGTCAGAATAATGTCAGTGGGGACTTTGCACTTAGAATTGGTGTCTACATTGCTGCTCCAGCTTCTGATATGACACTTGGTTTATCTTTCTGATGCCCATACCAATGCCAGCCATAATCTGAATCATGAGGAGCTGAAATCGTGGGGGAGGCATGCAGGTTTGCTGCTGTGCGGCCTGGGATCAAAGGCCACCCCTGCCATTAGTGAATGTGTAAATCTGGGCGATGTGAGTGCCAACACTGCGTTCTAGGTTCTCATAAACAATAGCCTGGAGATCTTCACAGAGAGCTCAGAGGAGGGCTGTGCTCAGGATCTGCTTGTGAGAGAGGACGGCAGTTGTTGATAAAGGGCCCTTGAGTGACTACGGGGAGGGAGTGCAAGAGACTGGAGGAGCCTCAGCTTGAAGGTCATTCATGAACTTGGAAGGATGAAAAGGAAAGAAAACACAAAGATGGTTTGAAATCTTCAGTACAAACAGGGTTGGGAAGTTGCCTAGAACCCAAAATCAGCCTGAAAATTCGCTAGTTGCTGGAAGTGGTGGCACACACCTTAAACCTAGAGGCAGTCCGGATCGACATGACAGGTTTCAGGCCAGCCAGGGCTATTTAGTGAACCAGTGTCTTCAAAGTAAAACTAAACGGCAGAGTTGTCAATGAAGGCTCAGGTTCTGGACTTTAGCAGCCTCAAGGTCAATAGAAGAGGTGCAGTCCCTTGGGATCCCAGCTTCCCTTCATGAACAAAAGACAGCCTATTTGGAACTTTGCTGAATCTCACTTCTCCAGCATCTCCTGCAGGGGCCCAGCTGCAGGAGGATTCATCCCCAAAGCATTAAGGGAACACAGTGATTTAAGAGCAGGCCCATGACCTTTCCAGTGGGGGTGGTGGGTGGAGCATTTTAGTGCCACTGGGACTTGGCTTTATACAATTGCCTGACAGTACCGGGGATGGATATCATCCATGGTTTAAGATGCAGGTTCTGGGGCTAGGGAGATGGCGTAGTAGATGAAGTGCTTGCCACATAGCATCAAGACCTGAGTTTGGATCCCCAGCACCCACGTTAAAAGTTGGGTGCACCAGGTGAGTTCATGTGGAACGTTAGTGTTGAAGGGGCAGAGAGAGGTAGAGCATGGGGACTCACTGGACTGCTAACCTAGCCAAAATGATAGGTCCAGCGAGAGACTTGGTCTCAAAAAAATACGGTGAAGAGCAATAGAGGACACCCAAAGTCATCTGTAGTTGACTTTCTTTTACTCTTTTCTCTTTGGGGGGCCCACTACCCAGCTCCCAAATAAATATACATAAAGACTTCTTATTACTTATAAAGATCCAGCCTTAGCTTGGCTTATTTCTTGCCCACTTTTCTTAAATTATCCTGTGTACCTTTTGCCTCTAGTCTTTTACCTTTTTCTATTTCTATGTGTCTTTTCTTTCCTTCTTATTCTGTGTCTGGCTGGATGGCTGGCCCCTTCTTTTCTCAGTCCCCTTTTTGTCTCTTTTTTTTCCTATTTATTCTCTGACTTCTAGCCCTGCCTACCCGTTCTTCTGCTTTACGATTGGCTGTTCAACTCTTTGTTAGAACAATCAGGTGTTTCAGGCAGGGAAAGTAACACAGCTTCACAAAGTTAAACAAATGCAACATAAAAGAATGCAACAACAACGAAAAGAATGCAACACATCTTTGCATCACTAAATGTTTGACAGCGTAAACATGTAACAACTCTTTAAATAGTATTCTATAACAGCCATCCTCTGGTATCCACACACACATGTACAAGATGAATTTGCATGCACAACCCACACACACGTGCACACACAGGAAGCAGGCTCGGAAATCTTGCTGAGTGGCTGCCGCATAAACGCTTGATGACTTTGTTCTCTCAAAGTGCTTCCTTGTATGATAAAAAAAATACCAAGCAGATGCCTCTCCTGTCAATAAATTGTTTTCATGAGTTTTTTTTATTTACCGGTTTTACATACATTAATTTTCCAGAGAAATCTTTTTATATATCTATATAATTTATCTATTTTTAGTTTTATGACAGTTACTTTATCATTGTGTATTTGATTTCAAATGTCTGTGATCATGTGCCTGCTAATTCATTCATTTTCGTGATATGCTTGTGACATCAGAATTTTTTTTTCAAATCATCTCTGCTCAACCTTGTACCTGCTAGGCAAATGCTCTACCACTAAACTATAACCTTGGTCCCCAACACTTCCTTTTTGCCAAAGAGGTGTTAGGAAATCAAGTGATAAGAATTGTAGGAAACCCTTTGTGTGTGTGTGTGTGTGTGTGTGTGTGTGTGTGTGTACAGAATCAAGAAGAAATATAACATCTTGCCCTTCTAAAAACTGATTGTGTGACTATGTAGCCCCCGCTGGCCTGAAACCTAATATGTAAACCAGACTAGCCTCCAACTCATAGAGATCCACTGTCTGTGCCTCCCCAGTGCTGGGGTTAGAGGTGAGTGTCATCATGCCTGGCTTTTTTCCATTTTGTACATTTGCTTTAGTACAAATGGAAACACGGCTCCTTTAAACTCTACATAAGAAGAAGGCAGGGTTGTGTTGCCGTGTGCTCCCTGGGGCACTTTGGAAAAGAAGTGAACAGTCACAGTATTGATATTATCCTCTCGCCCATGCTAGATTTCAAGGTACTGATTCCTGAGAGAAGATTGGAAGCCTCTCAAGTTGAAATGTGTCACCAGTCTCAGATAGGGTATCTGCCCAACCTCTTCCTCTGCCCTCTGGTTCTCTTAGACTATGGGAAAGGGACTTCTGAGATTCAAGAATAAACTATTTGGTCAGGGTGCAGGTTAATTTCTAAGCAAAAATGGAACACCTTTCCCTCTGAACCCTCTGGACAGGGCCACAGCCCCATGCTCATGGCTTTTTCCTCTGGACAACGCCTTGAATTCTGTTTTTCAGCTGCTGCCCCTGCATGCTGGAAGGCAGATGACCTCAGCCTGGCACACACAGCAGCCTGTCTCTTGCTTGGCCCGGTTCTTCCTTCCTCCAGGCGGGGTCAGGCCGCAGATGTGTGCTAATGAGAGCTTTTCTTTGTTTACAGGGTTTGGGATGCTCTGACAGACAATTACATCCCTTCACTCTCAGAAGACTGGAGGGACCCAAACATTGAGGCTCTGAATGGCAACAGCTCTGACACTGAGGTACCTCTCCGGGGCCCGCTATTTAGTCAGGATTGGGAGGATATGGCATCCAGATAGAAAACTTCCCGAAAACTCAAGAGCCTTTTAAAGCACTAGTTCGGAGTCCCTGTCGGGAATACAGCATCGCCAGACTCAGTGTCTCTCGACCACTGATGAGAAAGATAAAACGTAAGGTAGGAAGGAGACCCGGTGTGTCTGAAGTCATTGGGTGGGTCATGCATAAAAAGAGTAAGAATGGCGTCTTTGTTAGGGTTCCTACTGCTGTGAAGAGACACTGTGAGAGCAGCAATTCTTAGAAAGGAAAACAGTTAACACGGTTTAGAGGTTTTGTGTCCATTATCATCAAGGCAGGAAAGCAGGCCGATGTTGCGGAAAAGGAGCTAAGAAATCTACATCTTTTTGTTTGTTTGTTTGTTTGTTTTTGTTTTTCAAGACAGGGTTTCTCTGTAGCTTTGGAGTCTGTCCTGGAACTCGCTCTGTAGACCAGGCTGGCCTCAAATTCACAGACATCCACCTGCCTCTGCCTCCCGAGTGCTGGGATTAAAGGCGTGCACCACAACCACCCCGCAGAAATCTACATCTTGATCTGCAGATGGCAGCAAAAGAACTAAAACATTTCCTCCAATGAGGCCACACCTACTTCAACAAGCCCACACCTCCTAATAGTGCCACTCCCGGTGAACCTATGAAGGCCATCCTTATTCAGACCTTCCCAGCTGGCTACCTACTTCCCTAGGCAGTCTGCTGGTTTACTGTAATCCCAGTCCTCCGGGGACTGAGGAAGAATTGTCACAAATTTGAGCAAGGCTACACTAGAGAGTGAGACTCTAGTCCCCACAGATATACACACAAAAACATTTTTAAGAATCAGGGTTTAGTCCCATCAGAAATCTTGTTTAAGCAAGAGCTGGTGGACCATACAGCCTGCTGGTTAGAGCCAGGGCCCAGATGAGCCGACTGCACAATGGATAAGAAGCTGTTGTGTTCGTTCCTTTTCAAGTGCAGAGGATGACTTAGGGCTTCAGTGGAGCTAGAGAGACGGCTCAGTAGTTAAGAGCACTTGCTGCTCTTGCAGAGGACCCGAGGTCAGTTCCTGGCACCCATGTCAGAAGTCTTAACAACTGCCTGTAACTGCAGCTCCAAGGGATCTGATCCCCTCCTCAGCCTCTGTAGGCATCCTCATACAAATGGCATTAATTCATACACACACACACACACACACACACACACACGCTTAAAAAAGAACTTTTTTTTAAAAAAAAAAATGGAAACTGGAGTCTTTTGGGTTGATTGTATAGTCTCTCAGAAAATCCAGAGTGCTCCTGGTGACTAACTGTATATATATATATATATATATATATATATATATATATACACACACTGACTGTGCATACATATACTATATATGTAGTGGTATTTTAGTCAGCAGAGCAGAGCATCTCTGACTGATTTATAAGCAGTAAACATTTATTTCCTGCTGGGTGGTGGTGGTGGTGGTGGTGCACACCTTTAATCCCAACACTTGGGAGGTCAATCTCTTTGAGTTCAAGGCCAGCCTGGTTTACAAGAACTAGTTCCAGGACAGATTTCAAAACTACAGAGAAAAACCTGCCTTGAAAAACTAAAATAAATAAATAAATAAAAAAAGACAATTTCTACTTTGTTTGGCTTTATAGTTTCAGCCATGAAAAAAAATTGATAATTTTTTTGTCCAGAAAATGCTGGCACAGCCCTGGGTGGTGGGAACTCAGCAAATGGTGAGTTTCAGGCATCTGGTCTAGTGGCGTATCACATCTTCCTGGGAGCTCAAGAACTGGTCCCAAGTACAAGAGCAGGAAGCAGATTTCCCTGACTGGGCACTCTATCTGCAGATTACTGCTCAAAATACAACAGTGAGGAGATCAGCATTTCGCTGAATGCTTCATATCCTTCTTAAGTTTTCTAATCATGAGCAATACAGAATACTTGGGACCTCAAGGCTTCATTGGCAGGCAAGACAATGACTTTGAGGCAATGTTTCACTGCAAGAACACTCACACTGACACTGGAGCCTGGGTCTCAGGCCCTCTCTAAACTCCTGCTGTGCATTTTCTCTTGCAGCACACATCTGTACAATACCTTGTAGTCACCCAAAATAAAAGACAGTCGAAATAATGCGATGAGTCTAGCGATGAAATCAACTCAGGTTGTCGTGATCCAAGAGGCAGATTTTGCTGGGTTATTTAAGACTGGCACAGGACAGGTGATAAGAGTGGGTGGAAGAAGTCTGCTTTATCTCATCCTCCATTACCCCCTGGCTTTATTACAGAAGAAGGACTTTAACTGACCCCAGTTTAAATGACTTAACAGGTTGACCAGTACTCCGAATTCCTTCTGTTAGCCTGACCAACCAAACAGTCATAGTATATATACACCGCTGGGCAGTCTCAATTTCATGAGCCCTTGTAATCTTCTATTTGTGGATATTGCCAAGAATCAGTTGTTTGTTTCCCTACCTGTTTATGCTTGTCTTTGTGACTAAAATAAGTAATTGAATTAAATATAGATACTATTCAATCCTGACTACAATGAGAATGATTTGGGCTTTGTTAAAATCAAATTGGCACATTTATACAGTTATAAAAGATCAACCACCCAGTAGTTATGGCGCACACAGGTGGATCTCTGTGAGTTCGAAGCCAGCCTGGTCTACAGAGCTAGTTCCAGGATAGCCAAGGCTATACAGAGAAACCCTGTCTTGAAAAGCCATTAAGAAATTTATAAACAAAGCTGCTTTGGACATTGTTATACACATCATTGTAGGAGTATGTGCTTCCATTTCTAGTTAGGAAAGCCTGGGGGTCTGGAAGACTGAGTCATTTAGCAGATCTATTTTTAACTTTTAAGGGATTGGCAAACCTGATTTCCCAGGCTATGAACTATTGTGAGCAAATTTTGTGTAATGGTCTATCCTGTCCCTTTAAGAGACAAGTCACGCCCACTCCATCCCCTGTCCGGCCTGAGTCCCTTCTTTTCTGTCTCTTTCCCAAAGAGACAACTTTTGTCTCATTCCCTTCTTCCCAGTTCTTCCCTTCCTTCCCCCCTCTCTGCCTCTCTCTGCTCGTCTCCTTTCTTCCCTCCTCTCTTTTTTTCCTTCCCTTCCATAACCCACTAAATAAACACCCACTTTCTCTGAATGACATGCCTATTTGTCTTGGTCTCTCACCCACCATGCGGCTCCCTGCTTGGGACCCAGCCACCATGGTCTCGGAACCGCTGCCTCCTGCTGCCACTTGGGGTCCTGCAGCATTTTCCTTAAACAAACCATTACATTGATGCCATGGGACTCGGTAGGCAGGCCCTGCCACCGCTTAGGGACCTGCTGCATGGTCTCACGGTTCACTACCCACCACTCGGGGACCTGCAGCATTTCTGCTACAGTGCCCCTCAGTAAATCTGCAGCATTTTACTTAAACCATTACATTTTGTTGCCTGCTTGAGACCAGGTCTCACTATATAGTCTAGGTTGTCCTGGAACTCACTTCACAGTTTAGGCTGGCCTCCAAGCTTCCAGTCTTGCCAGTTCAGTCTGTTTGGGCAGGGATTATAATAGGCTGTGGACCAGTAGGCCCAGTCTTTCTTCCTTCCTTCCTTCCTTCCTTCCTTCCTTCCTTTCTTTCTTTCTTTCTTTCTTCCTTTCTTCCTTTCTTCCTTTCCTTCTTTTCTTTCCCTTCTTCATTCCCTCCCTCATTTCCTTTCTTTTGTTCTAAAGTCTTATATGACTTTCTGGGGAAACATGAACAAATGTCCATTTACCTCCTAGGTAGGGCATTGATGACAAACCAAAGGAATCATTATACTCAAGTCTAGCTTAGTGAAGCAGTGAATTTATTGAGGTTACTTATAAGAGCATGGATGACAAAGGTCTGCATCCTTGAGCAGCTGGTCCCAGCATGGGTGGAGACTTGTGAAAACTTGATCCTTGGAGCTACTTGCACAACTAGAGTCTCCCCTCAACAGCAATCGTTACTGATTATATGACTGTAGGGAGAGGCCTGGTGACTCTTGTTACCTTTGGGAGCTTCCTGGGTCTTTAAAATGCCATTTATTAGGCTGGGCAGTGGTGACGCATGCCTTTAATTCCAGAACTTGGGAGGCAGAGGCAGGCGGATCTCTGTGAGTTCAAGGCCAGCCTGGTCTATAAGAGCTAGTTCCAGGACAGGCTTGAACGCTACAGAGAAACCCTGTCTCAAAAGACAAAAAAAAAACAAAAACAAAAAAACAAAAACAAAAACAAAAAAACCAAAAAATCCACCATCTACTTCTTAGGGTATTTTCATTTAGTTCCCGAGTCCTGTGAGTCTTTCTCTTCCCTTGCAGAAGGAATGCTTCAATTCAGGGCAAATAGCTACACAACAAAAGGTCATAAAGCGAGTTGGATGTTATCCTGTTTGGTGAATGAATTTATATTATATTGCTATTGTTTCCTTTTTAAATGTTTGATAGTTCACTGCAATGAAACCACCTGGGCCTGAACTTTTTCTGAAGAATATTTGTGTGTGTGTGTGTGTGTGTGTGTGCGTGTGTGTGAATGTAGGTGCTCATGGAGGATAGAAGTTGGGGATGGTGGTTTAGCCCTGAAGCCAGAGTTGCAAGCAGTTGTGAGCCCCCCAGCATGGGTGCTGGGAACTGAACTTAAGTCCTCTGGAAGAAGAGTAAGTTCTCTTAACATCTGGGCCATCTCTCCAGCCCCAGTTATTGTGAATTTAATGATTCAGTAAGCCTCCTCTGGCTCCACTCACCATCAGTGAGATTACAAGTGCACAGGCCACACTCAGTTTTTTACATGGATGCCGGGTCTTTGAACTCAGATCTTCATGCTTTTGCAGTTAGTATACCACCATTGAACTATCTCCCTAGATCCCTGAATCATAGATTTCAAGGAATTTATCCACTTAATCTATCAATGAATGCATTAACCATGAATTTAAATATAATTTTTTAATGTTTTTTACTTTAAC